GCTGATTTTTTTTTTTTTTATTCTTTACAACATCATTGGGCATAGTTTTGAAATACATGAAGTCACTTGGAAAAAAATCATGATCTTTTTCTGAATGTTTGTAAGGGAGACCAAAACAACAGTTTGGTCTTTAATTTTAATTTAATTTCCCCTATTAATAGAAATGTTTCATAGTAATTGTTGTCTTATGAAATATGAAAATTTCTTCCCTGTTGTAAGCTTCCATGTTAATTATAAGGTCTGTTCTCTCTAATCTTTGTAGGTAACTCTTTGTTCAGGCTTAGCCATTTGATCAGAATGCATTCCAATTGACAGCAGGATCTCCTGAAGGCATCTTTAGTTCTTTTGTTTTATTTAAAAAATTATTTTATATATACATGACAATAGAGTTTATTTTGACATATTATACACACATACCCATTTATTGATTGAATTATTTATTGATTAAGATCACATTATCTTGATTGTACATATGTGGAGTTTCACTGCAGTGTATTCATATATGAACACAGGAATGTTATGTCTGATTTATTCTATTGTCTTTCCTATTCCTATACCCTCTGCTTCCCTTCATTCCTCTTTATCTAATCCACTGAACTTCTACTCTTCCCCTCCGATCTCCTGGTTGTTCTGTGTAAGCATTCACAAATTAGAGAGAACATCCAATCTTTGATTTTTTGGGGAGTTTGGCTTATTTTGCTTAGCATGGTAGTCCGCAGATCCATGCTTTACTGCCAAAAGTCATAAAATAAGTCTTTTTATGGTTGAGTAATATTCCTGTGTTCATATTTTTTTATCCATTCATCTGTTGAATGGCATCTATGTTGGCTCCATAGTTTGGCTATTGTGAATTGAGATGCTGTAAACACTGATGTGGCTGCATCACTGTAGTATGCTGATTTTTATTGAGGAGTAGTATGACCAGGTCAGATGGTGGTTTCATTCCAAGTTTTCTGAGAAATCTCTATACTGCATTCCAGAATGGTTGTACCAATATGCAGACACACCATCAATGTATTAGTGCACCTTTTTCCCCACATCCTTGCCAACATTTATTGTTGCTTATATTCTTGGTGGTTGCCATTTTGACTAGAGTGAAATGAAAATCTCAGTGTAGTTTTAATTTGCATTTATCTAATTGCTAGAGATGTTGAACATTTTTTTGTATTAGTTGACCATTCCTGTTTCTTCTTCTTTGAAGTGTCCATTCAGTCCCTGTGCCCACTTATTGATTGTATTATTTGGTTTTGTGTTAAGTTTGTTGAATTCTTTTTATATTCTGAAGATTAATGCTCTGTCTGAGGTGCAGGTGGCAAAGATTATCTTCCATTCTGTATGTCTCTCCTCACATTCTTGTTTGTCTCCTTTGCTGTGAAGAAAGTTTTCAGTTTGATACCATCCCTTTTATTGATTTTTGATTTTACTCTTTGTGCTTTAGGAGTCTTGTTGACGAATTCAGTTCCTAAGCTGACATGATGGAGAGCTGGGCCTACATTTTCTTCCAGTAGGTGCAGGAATATGGTCTAATGCCTAGGTTGTTGATGTACTTTGTGTTGAGTTTTGTGTAGGGTGAGAGATAGGAGTTCAGTTTCATATAGATTTTCAGTTTTCCCAGCATCATTTATTGAGGCTTCCTTTTCTCCAATGTATGTTTATGGCACTTTTATCTAGCATGAGATAAATGTACTTATGTGGGTTTATCCCTGTGTCTTCTGTTCCATTGGTCTTCACGTCTGTTTTTGTGCCATTACTATGCTCACTTTCATACTATAGCTCTGTGATAAAATTTAAGGTCTGGTAATGTGATGCTCCTGCTTTCCTTTTCTCACCAAGGATTGCTTTGTCTCTTCTAGCCTCTTGTTTTTCAAAATGAATTTCATTACTGCTTTTTCTATTTCTATGAAGAACATCATTGAAATTTTAATAGGAATTGCATTAAATCTGTATAGTGCTTTCGGTAGTATAGCCATTTTGGCAATATTAATTCTGCCTATCAGAGCATGGGAGGTCTTTCCATCTTCTAGGGTCTTCTTCAATTTCTTTCTTTAGTGTTCTGTAGTATTCATTGTAGAAGTTTTTCACGTCTTTTGTTAGATTGATTCCGAAAGTTGTTTTTTTTTTTTTGAGGCTATTGTAAATGAAATAGTCCTCCTACTTTCTCTTTCAGCTGATTCATCATTGGTTTATAGGAATGCAATTGATTTATGGTCTTAATTTCAGATCCTGCTATTTTGCTTAATTTGTTTGACTTCTAGAAGTTTACTGGTTGAGTTTTTTTGGGTCTTCTAAACATAGAATCATTTAATCAGCAAATAGGGAGTGAGCTCTTCTTTTCTTTATTTGTATCCTTTTAATTTCTTTCTTTTGCCTAACTTCTCTGGCTGGAATTTCAAGACTACGTTGAATAAAAATGCTGAAAGAGGGCATCCTTTCCTAGTTTGAGTTTTTAAAGGGAATGCTTTTAAGTTTTCTCCATTTAAAAGATAATGGTCTTGGTTTTAACACATGACTTTTACAATGTTGAGGTGTGTTCCTACTATCCCTAGTATTTCTTTTGTTTTGAACATGAATGCATACTATATTTTCTCAAATGCTTTTTCTGCATCTATTGAGATAATCAGGTGATTCTTGTCTTTAACTCGATTGATGTGATGAATTATGTTGAAAGAACCTTGCATCTCTGGATGAACCCCATTTAATTGTGGTACATTATCTTTTTAATATGATTTGTGTGTGATTTGCCAGCATTTTATTAAGAACTTTTGCATTTATGTTCATGGGGGACATTGGTCTAAAGGGTTCTTTCCTTGATGTGTTTTTGTTTGGTTTTGGTATCAGGATTATGCTAGCTTCATAGAAGGAGTTTGGAAGGGTTTTCTCCTTTTCTATTTCATGGAATAGTTTAAAGAGGATTGGGGTTACCTCTTCTTTGAAGGTCTGGTAGAACTCAGCTTGTCTGGGTTTTTCTTTGTGGGTAGGTTTTGATGGTGTCTTCAATGTCATTGGTTGAAATTGATCTGTTTTAAATTTTCTATGTCCACTGATTCAATTTTGGCATAGGTTGGCAGATTGGATTAAAAAACAAGACCTACATCCTCATTGGAATACTATCTGTGGAGAAAAACCCTCTGAACTCTTGTGAGGACTAAAATGGAAGCAGTTTCCTCAAACAACAACTAGAATTAAGAGCAGCAAAGTGATGGGAATCTTCTGGGGAAAAAAAAAAAAACAATGTTATTTTGATATTGATTTCCTGTGAATGCCAGATGACAGAAAAATGTTTCCAGAAAATGGGAGAGAGAACAGATGTGATTACAGAGTGCAGTGCATTAGAATCAGAATCTGAGTGAGGAGCGTGGCCTGGGAACCCTGGCTTCTTTTGTGGACCAGTATACTTCAGAATAAAGAACTTGACAAAATTATCATGAGGGTCTCTGAGCAGGAAGTGGTGTTAAGTTTCTGAATCTCATAGTAGAATGGGGGAAGGTATTTCAGAATCATGTATCGCTCATGGTCACTTGTATCCTATCCACTGAAATGTCTGGGCAGTTGTGGGGAGGGTTTTACCCAAAGTTCAGTTACTCTCCTGTAACCTGAAAACATAAGTCCATAGAACTGGGCTCTTAAACTAAGCACAGGAATGACCTTTAATTTCTCTTGAAGCAGGTCTCTGAATTATTGTGAGAGCAGATTACTAAAGAGATATTTGTATTTCATGGAGTTGAATTAACCAAGAAATGTGAGAAATGCAAGTTATGGAAAGAATATTATTTTTTAATTCTAACAAAGTTGAGTTTCCTTGAAATATATGGAAATCAAATAAAAGTGAGAGGTTTTCCAGTTCAAGAATATTTATGTGCCAGAGCAGCAAGGGTGTTACTTTTGTCTGTTTCAACACCAAGATAGCTCTTTCATGGACTCTGAATATAGATTATAAAGAAGTACTAGTAAATATTGAATCTTATTTGCCTTCCAAGTCCCTAACGTGTATTGGCTATGAGTTTCTTAGCACAAAATCTATAAAGTATTTGTTTCTTACATGAATACTCTGGATAAATAAAATGAAAATCTCTCAATTGCACAACCTCTTTAGAGACCATAAAGTCCCCTAACCAAGCTACTGGTTTTGATGAAGAGTTCTCATAGGAAAACATAACACTGATTGAACACTAACATGACCTCTGTCATCAATAATAATGCATATAAAGAAGATTTGAGGCCTGTGCTGTATCGAACACAGTTACAGTTGCTGATACTTTCTGAGCTCAGTATGCACCAGACACTTTCCTGCCTCACCTAAAGTGCAAAGCAGCCTTACGTTTATAACCAGTACTGCGCATATTTCACCTGCTTTGGGAACTTTGAAAACATCATGGAACCCCTATGGGCTCAGTGAAATAAAAAATATATGTCTTTATATGTTTGAGTGGATTTACAAAAAGAGATTTTATTCCTAAAGGCACAATTGAAAAGCTTTTGTTTATCTACCAATACTGTTAAGGAGAGCCCCAAATTTGACCATACTTCTTACCAACAAGTGCAGTGAAAAGTATTGATCTTCTTTCTCATTAAATTTTCAAATAAATATAATTAATAATGGATAGATATAGTAGTAAAAAATTAACATTAAACAATTCATAGAATTTCAATTGAAAAAAAATTTTTTCAACTTTTTTATTTGTGCATTATAGTTGCATGTACTGATGGGATTTGTTGTTACATGTTTGTACATGTACTCAATTTAACAACATAATTTAGCCAATATTACTTAATATATTGTTTTTCATCGCTGTGCCAATCATAATATTATTCTTACTCATTGTCCCTTGATACATTTTAGAATATTGTTTGTATATATTTAAAAAAATTTTTAAAAAGGTTTGTAAAATATATTAACACAAGAAGTTGGTCAACAGTCCTTCAAAATGTTTTAATGCTTTGTCATTTTTGTAGGATACAAACTGTGATTGAACTGAACGCTTATTTGAAAGAGCCTCATCATGAACCGTGCTTTTAACAGGAAGAAAGGTAAATGTGCACATTTTAAAAAGGACTTAGGAATCAAATCAACATTGCTTTAAAAATAAAGCAGAGATGTTTGGAAATTGGTTTTTCCCATTATGAGACCACATGGCTCAAAAATGAAATTAGATTAGAACAATGTTAATCTGCAAATATTGCTAATTAACCTTCTTTGGTTATCACTCTAATTAAAGAGTGGGGTTAATACACTTAGTTCACAATACATATGTGATAATATGTTCTCTGGAAATTTTATGCTATGTTGTGAAATTGCAAAGAATAAATTAATTTGAAACTCAGTCCTAAGTTCAGTTTATATAGCCATATAATATTAACTTGCCTGGGTTTACATAAGGTTGCAAAATATAAATTCATTCCTGAGTATTTATGTGTGTGTGTATGTATATGCCCACTTGATGTATTACTGAATTGTATGGGAGGCTTCATGATAGGTCAATTGATAATAATGAGACCAAAATAAGTTTGCTATTAATACTATGGTAGGAATATAAAATAAACATAAATTCAATGTATCATAATCATCAACAAAGGCATAAATGAAACAACTAGCTAGTTAGGTGTTATTTTTTTAATGGGCAAGAAAAATGGAATTTGACAAAATATTTTATGAAATACTTATGTTGGAAAGAAATATTTTATGTTTTTTGTCTAATTCAGTGAAGCTAAAATAATGTGTGCGTTTAATTCTGGAAGTTCTCTAGTATAGGGAAGAGGGCTCCCTGGTGAATTGGAAACAAATATTTAAACAATGCTAATCAAATTCATAGATGATTGAAAAGAGGAAGAAATGACTGACAAAATAGGATTACAAATATGTGGGGGAAAATGACCAGCTGGTTATATTCTGCACTATAATTTTAATATTATAAATTGCCAACTAAGGGCTCCCCAAACATAATTATTTATTATTATTCATATATTTTCATTATTTGAAAGATGCACCTTAAGTGCTTATTTAGTGAAGAAAAAAAAAAGGCCTAATAATCAACACTGTGATTTTTAAGAGCTAAAGCTTGTATTCTAATAGATGGGTAATGAACAGTCCAGAACTAGGGACCAGAGTGTTCTGTTCTATTTCACGCAATCAGGCCTAGTGTGTTTTCTCTCCCAAATATTTAAATAGTTAGCTGACACCTTATAATATGCCCAGATGATAAAAGCTGAAATAATATCAGCACTTTTGATATATAATGGGAGCCATAACTGAGGAACCTTGGAGCAGCTGCTTTTCAGTGTTTGAGGGTTGCCGTTTAGCCATGGGACTATTTTAATAAAGGAGAAATAGGTGTGAATTATAAGGTCCTTGATTGTATGTAGGAAAGAGCATTTCAGCAGTGTCCTGTAAAAGTATAATGGATTATTCAAATTACTAAATTTGTGTCACAGAAGTGAGAGCCATTCGAACATTTGGATATGGTACAGAAGATTAATGCATTCAGTGGGAGTTTAGATACTGTGACCTTTCAAACACTTTTCAAGACTGCAAAGCTAGAAATATATTATTTTGCTTATTTTTCTGAGTAAGAGGAAGCAAAATGACATTGTTTGCTGTCTATAGCTTCATGCTGATTTAAAACATATCCCCAAAGTAAAATGATGTCTCTTTTTTGTGTTTCTTTTTATTCTCTTTACTAGTAAGAAAGAGTAAAAATAGTTTTATGATATATCATAGTATTTCTAATAAAGTAATAGAAACCTTACATCATAATTCACCACTATAATCACACTACCTTATTTTTGGAAAACATTTTTGACCTTGGAACACACACACACACACACACACACACACACAATTCCCCATCCCATGGCTTTGAAGTTGCAACTGCTTGTTTCTAATTTACTATTTATTTTAAGGAGATACAGAGTGGCTATTCCAGAGGACTGGGTACTGATATAAGTAACCAGTAATTGTTTTTGGTCTCATTTGCACCCAGTGGGGTGCTGCCTTGGGGAAAATTGGAGTGGTTTGTAGAATCCAGAAGCAAAAGTACTTATTTCCTCCTTTGCTTAGTTCTTTTTTGATTTTTATCACCTTTTCTTATTTTACAAGTCTAATGATTAAATATCCTTATTTGGTAATGATTGATCAATATTTTGCTCCAGCTCTAACTTACAATTTGATACCAGAAGTTTTACTTAAATTCGTCAATTAGTTCTTAGTCCCATTTGTTAAATGAAAAAAATCTTAGAACCTCTGTTCCAGATTTTAAGTAATAGTACTATTAGCTGAATTTTACTTGGAGGTGGGGAATTTGAATGTTATCACAGAATTCCTATATCCTGAAAGTCTTAGAGAATGTATAATTCAAGTGATATTTCTAATAACTAATAACAATATATACTGTGCAGAGTATTCTAAACAAAGTAAAATGGTCTTCTGTTAGGAAAAGCCTATTTCTTATTTCATAGATACCCAGTTTATTTGGTCATTTCACATAGCCCTACTAAAAGCCTCAGAAACCAAAGAAAGAAAGATTCTCTCTTTAACTTAAACATAGTTGTTTCTTTTTATTAAATCTCAGAATTATTATTATAGTGTTTATATTGAATTAGCCAGATATTTTACTTTTTTTTTTCTTTTTTGCAAATACTATAACAGTATTATAGTCATTCAGAGACTGAAAAGGTTTGAATAGACTGGAATTGCAACATTTTGAGCTATTTAGAAAAGTCCTTTAAAAGTTAGTCTCATATAATCATAGATTAATTTTTAATGATGGTTGTATTTATTTTACAGAGACTTCCTTAGTTAGCAGTCTCTTTGAATTTTGAAAATCTTCTACCTATTCCATCAAAATTAAACCATTTAGCAAAAAAAGTATAAAATATAGTATGTGAATAGTGCTATTGAATAATTCAACAAATTACACTTTACTTCTTTAAGTTACCAGTTGATGTACTAATGAGTAAATATAATCCTAATGTCTAAACACATAAAATTAAATATTTAAGAATTATTTTATTTTTTATGAAAAATGCCATTCAAATGTATTATTTCACCCAACAATATTTAGCTTTAAATTTAACATACTCAAATTAGGCATTTTCATTATGTTAAGCTCTGGTGATTATATATATAAATAAATAAATATATATATATATATATATATATATATATATATATATATTATATATAATTTTTAGTTTCAATAATGCACCATTAAAATATTTTTAAAGGAAGATAATTATATGATTATATATATAAATAAATATATATATATATTATATAGTATATATAATATTTATATATTATATATATAAATTATAAGATTATTTATATATAATCTTATAATGAAAATTATAAGATATTTATATATATATATAATCACCAGAGCTTAATACATATATTTGAAGTTACTGCATCTTTCATGATGAGCTCCTAATCTAACTGCATTTTAAAAATTTAAGCTTATTGATCCAGTATTCAGTTGTTTGACATTTGTCAAGCATTTAAGAATGTCAATATTTTCTCTCACATGAGTGTTCAATATTGAATTAGCAATTTTAATGTAATTTCAAGGAAGGGCAACACATTCTGGAATGTCTATATTCCCATGTTTATACTAGTTCTCTTTATCTAATTGCTTCTGTGGACACAACTAGTGACCAAAGACCATCATCTGTAATGTCTTCTCAAGGTCCCAAAACATCTATGTGAGTTAATATCAACAGTTTTATTCTTTGATTGTTTTGTTTTTCTTTTAACAAAGTATAAGTTCAGATGACACTAATAACTCATTTTGGAAGTCCTTCAGGTTTCATAAATGCACTACCTATAACAGAAATTGTATAATGAGCAACCACTAAAAAATCCACATTTTATGTTCTGTGAATGCAGATTTTAGTTATTGAAGAAACTGTGTAGCCCATCCACTGGTAATTTCATACTGTGTTTATTTTAGTCTGAAACCAGAAACACCTAGGTATACCTACCCTCTTTCAAGGTCACTGAAATGTGAGACTATAACACAGGCAATATCATCAGTTTTCAAATAATAGTGGCTTTTGAGAGAAAGCAATTATCTCTCTGCCTCAGGATTGGTATGAGCCTCATATTAAGACTTTAGTCAGACTTTTTATAACTCCTGGAGAAATGTTGTATATTATGGGAAGGAGGCATGAGAAGAATTGTGCAAAGCCATAAAAAGAAAAATTGGATATCTTTTTAGGCTTCCAAAAGGCAAATGTTTGGTGTTTTTATTGTTTTTGTATACAGAATTGTGATTTACTTCTTTAATGTTCAAGAGTAAGAAAGACTACATGCCAAGTCTAAGTACAAATTATTCTTGAATTAAACATGTCACTGTTCATTAGCAATTTAAAAATTATAAGATAAAATTCATAGCAAAGTAAAAAAAAAAAAAACCCTAAAATGTTATTGTCAATATTGCATTTTGAAGCTTGAAGAGCATTGCTTTTCAAAATATTTCATTGAAATGCAGTTCTCACTTGTCCACTCCAATAGAGAGAAATAGCCCCAATGCTGTTGATTCTTATGTCTTATCAGGGAAGATCTTGTGAATATTGCTTTATACCCATAAATATGTTTAATAAAAATATGGTCCAATGTCCTTCAAATAACTAACGTGTAATGAATATATATAATTTTTCCTATATTTTCAAATTCCCTCAGTTTGAAAAGCTCTAATTTAATGATATCTAATTAGTTTCTGTAAACACTATTTTAAATGTTCTCAATTGAATGTTGAAAGTACTTGGTTAGTAATCTGATATTCCCTTTCCATGGTAAAATATATCTTTAATTATTTTCTATTTATAATATTGATTTAATTTTTTTAGACTCCCCTGGAGATTAAAATACAAAACTTCACAAATGGAGACAACAAGATGTATTTGAAGATTAAGAAATCTAACTCCAAAACAAATGCAGTTTCAAAAAACAAGAAGTCAGTTTGCTTTGTGTGAACTTTAATGTTTTCCCTTCTTATACACTTCATAAAATATTTGTGAAACTATATTGAATGTATTAATAATGTTCAAAAATTGAATGAAATATATAAATATCAAAAATAAGTAATGTACAATGTAAGTTAGTCTTAAAAATCTATGATTTTGTCCCATTTTCATTTCTAATAATTATTACACTTATCCAAGAAACATTCACTGTAGTTATCATCTAAGATTTTTTATATTTATAATTTCTGATAATCAATATTTCTCTAAATTTAGAATAATATTCTAATATTATATTGATTTCTTAATGAAATTGTAGATTAATTTATTTCAGCTTCATACAAATGCAACTGGTAGCTTAATATAAAAATTTTTCTTTAGAATATTTAAATCTTGATGCTAAAACATAATCACAATGAATAAAGAGAGTTTTTTTTTACTGTCCTGAGAATTAAAACAAAAAACCTGTAGTAAATTAAAGAAAAAATAGCTGTCTTTAATTGAATAATTGATATTATTCATATCTCACTGATGTTATTTCTAAATATTCTTCAAAAATTCAGCATTTTTGTTTAAAAAAATTTAAAGTGGGGGACATTTATACCAGAAAAGAATCCTATAATCATTCTCCAGCTACATTGATGTTATATTTGACTAGTTATTATTTTGTAATGGGGAACTCAAAATTAGAAATGCTCAGACTCCCTATAGATGTTAATGCATGACTGACACCATAGGAAGCTATAATTTACTTTAACAATGACTGTATTTTCTTTGTTGCAGACAAAACATGGATGCATACACCTGAAGCATTATCAAAACATTACATTCCCTATAATGCAAAGGTAAAAGTAGTTCATATAATATTATTTAATTTTATTTTGGATAGTATTATTACTATTTATGGTTGATATTAGAAAAATTTTGAGTATGCATTGACATTCCCTGGTAAGTGATTCCTGAAAAAAAGTTACATAAATAAAATAGCTAAGTAATGTATGATATAGGAAGTTATTTTTTTATCCAAATAAATGATTCTTGTTTACAAAGTATGTCATTTTAAATTTCTGTTTGTCATATATTTCATGCATGTGTTTTCTTCTAGTAATTTTGGCTATTGTTAAAATTATTTGCAATATAATTTCCTGTAGGCAAGAAAAGAACAAATAAATTATCTTCCTTTAAAAATATTTTAATGGTGCATTATTGAAACTAAAAATAAAAACTAGCCTGGAAATGAGAAAAATAAACTAAAATTTTAATGAGTGTAAGTACCATCCAAGAATATTAACGAACAAAACTTTAATAATATTTTTTTAAAAGTTCATTTTGTTACTCTTTTTTTCAGGTTACTACATTTATTTTTTCTTTTTGGTACTGAGGATTATACTCAGGGGCTTTTTACCACTGAACCACATTCCTAGCCCCTTTTTCCTTTTATTTTGATACAGAGTCTCACTAAGTTGCTTAGGGCCTTGTTGAGTTACTGAGGTTGGCCTTGAACTTGGGATTCTCCTGCCTCAGCCTCATGAGTCTCTGGCATTAAGTGGTATGCCACCATGACCAGCTCAATTTGCTACATTTTTTTTTTCGTCACTTACCCCTGAGTGTCCCGGGGCTCCCCTTAATGGGCCACCATCTGCCACAGTACGGCTGCAGCAAAATAACCGGGGGGTGACGAGCAACTTGTGTACATTGATACAGCAGGAGTGGGAGCTGTTTATTGTAGGACAGGAGGGGTATATATACATTCCACACAGCTTATCTTAATTAACATAAACTAGGTACAGCAGTCAACCAATAAGGAATCTCCACACTTAATGGCTCGCTGGCATTACTTCAAAAACCACTCCCTCTGCAAAATGCCAGGCGCCATCTTGACTTGTTTACAGACTCTAACATACTCCTTCCTTAAATTGCTTTTAAGTAGAAGGCATGTTGCTTAAACTTTACTGGATGCTGGTTGACACTTCACAGCTTTATAACACATTGCTTATTTTCTTATGGTGTTCATTATCATAAAGAAATACTGTAATATTAACCAACATAAAGACACATCATGTTCTGTCATTCAAAACACAGAAAGATGTAGAGATTCAGAGAAGTGTGTTACTCCTATGTTATAAGAGTGGAAACAAGGTAATATTCAGGAGCAAAACAAAGTCAGGGGCCATTTCAAGATGAGAAGTCTTAAAGGTAGGAGACCAGGAGAGTCAGTAAAGTATGAGGCACAAAATATGGCAGGAGCTGGGCGTCAGTATGAAATACTGAAGCTGACCTGGTCAGTCAGGGTCCATCCAAGAAATAGAATAGGTAGGATATCTACATGCATACTAAAGATTGGGGGAAGCTGACCAGGCAAGTCTGGAGTATGTGATAGGCCTTTAGGAAGGGCATGCTGGAACCTCTTGCTAGGAACTGACCCTTCTATATTTTTGTCACAAAGACAATACAACATTTCAAGACAAAACAAGACACAAACATACTGTATCAATCTTTTATATTAGTACTTACAATGTAATATTGATATAATATTTTATATATTATTATAATATTCCAGGTTGAAATAATTGCTATAGAGAAAAATAGAGCAAGATAACAGAATATTGGAATCGGAGGAGTAGAAAACAGGCTACTGTTTTACATAAATTGAAAGATCTTAGAGGAGAACAGCGGCCTTATGGGAAAATGAGGAAGTGAGATGTGCCTGTGAAGGAGAAGAGTGTTCCAGACATGCAGGACAAGGACAAGGAGGATGATGTTCCTCAAGGACTAGCTGGGGAGGCGACCCTGTGGGAAATTCGGTGACTGCCATCAAAAGGCACAGTGAAGCAGAGCTAGGGGACAAGGGTGTCTTTAAGCTCTTATAGTATTTTTAGACCTCTGAAAACTTTGGGAATTGGTGACTTGTAGAGGTTTCAAAGAAAGAGTAAAAAAGCTGAGACAAATTATCAACAGAAATTGGCTGTAAGGAATCAAATGTGGAAGCACTGAGTTCTGGCAAGAGATTTCGCTTGGAGCAGGGTAGGAGCTGGAGAAGAAAAGCAGTGACACTTTGGATACAATTTGAAAATAAAGCAGAGGAGATCTGTAGGTGGATTGCTTATTAGTTTCCTACTGCTTTTACAATGAAAAATTAAAACAGAATTTTTTTAAAGAAAAGGTCACCCTCAAGGGAGACAATAGTGTTTCCTATTCCCTCTGACTTTCAATGAGAATGCTTAATTGTCCTTTCTACAAAGGAGACACACTGGCAAAATTTATTTTTTATTATTACTCTGTTAGTTTACAATAGTTACTTCTTTGATAAAGAACACTAACAGGCTTCATGTAAAATATTTATTAAATATTTTATTCTAAAATATATAACTGCTCCAAGAAAGTTTGTTCTTCTATGAAAGATCTAGTTTTAGGATATCTAAAAATGGGGCTGTGGATTCAGATAGGTTGTAGAACCTTGCCTAGCATGCTACAGGCCCTGAGTTCAATCCCCAGAACCATACACACACACACACACACACACACACACACACATGTATACATACATATACATGAATACAATTTTAAAGACATTACCTATTTTGTACCATGCAGCAATAAAATTGTTAGCATTCCCAGATCATCTCTTTTTTATTTGTTCATTCTAATTAGACATGATAGTAGAATGTATTTATACATATTATACAAACATGGAGTATAAATTTCCATTTTTTTATGTTTGCACATGATGGGAAATTATACGGTCATGTATTCCTATATGAACATAGAACAGTTATGCCTGGTCATTCTACTGGCTTTTCCATTTCCATTCCTTGTCCCTTCCCTCCACCCCCCTGCCCAATCCAGAGAACCTCCACTCCCCTACCCCAGCTATTGTAAGTCAGCATCGCATATCAGAGAGAATAGTAGGCTTTTGATTTTTGAGGATTGGCTTATTTCCTTTAACGTGATAGTCTCCAGATCCATCCATTTACCGACAAATGCCATAATTTCATTTTGCTTTATGGATAAGTACTATTCCATTGTGTTTTATGTACCACATTTTCTTCATCCTGTCATCTGTTGAAGGGCACCTAGGTTGGTTTCATAACTTTGCTATTGTGAATTGAGCTGCTTAAACATTGACGTGGCAGAATCACTGTAGTATGTTGATTTTAATTTCTTTGGGTAGATACCAAAGAATGGGATAACTGCATCAAATCGTGGTTCCATTTCAAGTTTTCTGAGGAATCTCCATACTGCATTCCAGAGTGGTTTCACAAACTTGCAGTCCCACTAGCAACATATCAGTACACCCTTTTCCTCACATCCTCACCAACACTTATTGTTGCATCTATTTTTGATAAATGCTATTTTGACTGGATTGAGATGAAATCTCAGTGTAGTTTTAATTAGCATTTCTCTAATGTCTAGTGATATTGAAATTTTTTTTCACATATTTTTTGACCAATCATATTTCTTTTTCTGTGATGTGTTTGTTCAGTTACTTTACCCATTTATTGTTTGGGCTATTTATTTTATGGAGTTAAATTCTTTGAGTTCTCATATATCCTGGAGATTAGTGGTCTATCTGAGATGCAGGTGACAAAGACTTTCTTCCATTCTGTAGGCTCTCTCTTGAAGCTCTTGATTTTTTCCTTTGCTGTGAAGAAGGTTTTCAGTTTGGTACCATCCCATTTATTGATTCTTGATTTTACTTCTTGTGTCTCAAGAATCTTGTTGAAGAAGTCAGTTCCTCATAATATGAGATTTTATGATAGAGATTTGGGCCTATTTTTTATTCTATAGGACAGGGTCTCTGGTCTAATGCCTAGGTTCTTGATCCACTTTGAGTTTTATGCAAGATGAGAGATAGGGGTCCAGTTTCATTTTCTTACATGTGTATTTCCAGTTTTCCCAGTACTGTTTGTTGAAGAAGCTATCTTTTCTTCAATGTATGTTACAGAGCCTTTCTCTAGTATAAGATAACTGTATTTATGTGGGTTTGTCCCTGTGTCTTCTATTCTGTACCATTGGTCTTCAAGTCTATTTTGGTGCTAATACTGTGTCATTTTTGTATAGCTCTGTACTATAATTTAAGGTCTGGTATTGTGTTGCCTCATGCTTCAGTTTTCTTGTGATGATTGCTTTAGCTACTTGGGCCACTTATTTTTCAAAATGAATTTCATGACTGCATTCTCTATTTTTGTGAAAAATGTCATCATAACCTTAATAGGAAAGGAATTAAACTTATATAGTGTTTTTTAGTAGAATGGCCATTTGACAATATTAATTCTGCCTATCCAAGAGCATGGGAGATCTTTCCGTCTTCTAAGGTCTTCTTCAATTTCTTCCTTAGTGTTTTATAGTTTTTGTTGTAGAGGTCTTTTGCCTCTTTCGTTAGATTGATTCCCAAGTACTTAACTTTTTTTTTAGGCTATTGTGAGTGTGATAATTTCCTAATCTCTCTTTCAGTTGATTCATTACCAACGTATAGGAATGCAATCGAGTTTGGGGTGTTAATTTTATGTCCTGCTACTTTACTGAATTCATCTATGAGTTCTAGAAGTTTCCTGGATTTTTTTTTTTTTTTTTTTTGGTCATCTAAATATAGAAGTATGTCCTCAGCAAATAGAGATAGTTTGAGTTATTTTCCTATTCATATCCTCTTAATTTCTTCTACTGTCTAACTGCTCTGACTAGAGTTTCCAGGACTATGTTGAATAGAAATAGTGAAAAAAGGCATCCTTGTCTTGTTCCAGTTTTTAAAGGAAATACTTTCAATTTTACTCCATTTAGACTGATGTTGGCCTTTGGTATATCAGCTTTTACAATATTGAAGTATGTTTCTACTATCCCTAGATTT